TCGAGCCACTTGTCCTGGCGCAGCAGTTAACTGTCCCACGTTCGCGTCTTTGATTTTGACTACCATTCATAAATAAATATTGCTTGACAATATCTTATGGCCTCCGTTTCTGTTCACCTTACAAACGATGTCGGATCCTGCTGTGCGTCGTCGACCCCTCATCTGTACTCGGTGCATTGCCAGATATTTCCCTTTTGTCACATGTGGCTCAATAAACATTCTGAGGGATTGTGGGGCTTGGGTTGTTATGCGCTACATCCTATAGTTCCGATCCTCCGGGCGTCACGTATCGGATGTCACAAGTGATAGGGGAGTAGTGAAGAGGGCGCCCGCTGAGCATAGCCTAATCCAGACGTAATCCGGGTGGTTACCATTACCGCAAATTGCAGACCCTGCGCCATCTGTGGAAATGCATTGCAATATGATGTGTCAGGATAACAAATAATCTACATGAATTTGATTATTTATGACATAAGTATACTTATTCTGACACAACAGGACTCAGACTCTCCCGTTCATCCCCCGTCTGATGTTCACTCAGTGCAGACTGAGTATTGTTAAGTTTTGGACGGTCTATTTCTTCCCTGAATCAGGGGTAAATTGTTTGAAGATCCTAAAAGTAAGTACGACAGACAACTCTGCTGTCCCAACGTTGATCTGTCCTGACAATTTGCTGTGATTCCCCCTTCTCAGTATATTATGTACCCCTCTCATCTCAAGACCTTTTAAAGATAATGAAACAAGTTCCATGAATCCATCTGCTCTTCCCCTTGTTTTTTATTCTAAAAACCCCACCCACCCCTTGAATTGAGAATAAAAAGGTTTAAATGAAAAACATCATTTTCTGCAGATAAGCATCAACTGTTATTTTAGTAATCTGCTGCTCAGTTGTTAATCCTAAGGCGATTAGCCTTTAAGCTGACTGTCCTCCTTTAATACCATGTAGGGACAGTCCATTTTAGACATAGGGGTGTGCCCATTCGCCTACCTACAACATGTAGCCATATTGAAGCGTAGCCGAATTGGCGTGTAGGCGATATGAGAATAACCTGTTCGGATTACTACTTGTTGCAGACGCACACGCGTGCATGCATGCATGCTACATAAGTGACATGATGTACGCAGCGTTAAACTCTATTTCAGCTAACCACCTAAAATATATTCACTAATCGACAACAAAAGACTGAAGTGCGGGCCTTTAGATTTTGCAGAATGCTTTTATAAAATTTTGAATACGTCTTGTGTAATCCTAGGGTTTGTAACTGGTAGTATTTGAATGTGCAAACAACTGTCTGTTGTTACCTGGGTGATTACATCATTGTACATAGAGTCTTGTTCACTCTTTCCACCATTGGTTTAAGGGATGCTTTACATCAGTTGTAGCCGTGGCACCGTTGACCGCCACATACAACACAACTCTCATGAATAGAATGTCCAGGATTCTGCTATATAGCTGTAAAATTACTAAGCTGTACTATTGCACAATATCATGACATTGTTTTGTTAAAAATCACATGACGTCATTTTGTTTCTGATTACAGGGTTCTATTCCATATTACATTGTTTCTGATTAGAGGACGTCATTGCCTTGTGTTGCTCCTGATTCAAGTTCATTGTTTCAGATAACAGGACGCCATTACAGTGTTTTTCTTCTGACCACGGGATTCCATTACATCGTTTCAGATAACAGGACGCCATTACTTCTGATCACAGTCAGCGTTACCGTGTGTTGTTTCTGATTACAGATTCCATTACATTGTTTCTGATCACAAGACGTGATTACACCAGTTTGTTTCTAATCACAGGGTTCCATTACATTGTTTCTGATCACAAGACGTGATTACACCAATTTGTTTTCTAATCCCAGGGTTCCATTACATTGTTTCTGATCACAAGACGTGATTACACCAGTTTGTTTCTAATCACAGGGTTCCATTACATTGTTTCTGATCACAAGACGTGATTACACCAGTTTGTTTCTAATCACAGGGTTCCATTACATTGTTTCTGATCACAAGACGTGATTACACCATTTTGTTTCTGATTACAGGGTTCCATTACATTGTTTCTGATCACAAGACGTGATTACACCAGTTTGTTTCTAATCACAGGGTTCCATTACATTGTTTCTGATCACAAGACGTGATTACACCAGTTTGTTTCTAATCCCAGGGTTCCATTACATTGTTTCTGATCACAAGACGTGATTACACCAGTTTGTTTCTAATCACAGGGTTCCATTACATTGTTTCTGATCACAAGAAGTGATTACACCAGTTTGTTTCTAATCACAGGGTTCCATTACATTGTTTCTGATCACAAGACGTGATTACACCAGTTTGTTTCTAATCACAGGGTTCCATTACATTGTTTCTGATTACAAGACGTGATTACACCAGTTTGTTTCTGATTACAGGGTTCCATTACATTGTTTCTGATCACAAGAAGTGATTACACCAGTTTGTTTCTAATCACAGGGTTCCATTACATTGTTTCTGATCACAAGACGTGATTACACCAGTTTGTTTCTAATCACAGGGTTCCATTACATTGTTTCTGATCACAAGACGTGATTACACCAGTTTGTTTCTAATCACAGGGTTCCATTACATTGTTTCTGATCACAAGACGTGATTACACCAATTTGTTTTCTAATCCCAGGGTTCCATTACATTGTTTCTGATCACAAGACGTGATTACACCATTTTGTTGCTAATCACAGGGTTCCATTACATTGTTTCTGATCACAAGACGTGATTACACCAGTTTGTTTCTAATCCCAGGGTTCCATTACATTGTTTCTGATCACAAGACGTGATTACACCAGTTTGTTTCTAATCACAGGGTTCCATTACATTGTTTCTGATCACAAGAAGTGATTACACCAGTTTGTTTCTAATCACAGGGTTCCATTACATTGTTTCTGATCACAAGACGTGATTACACCAGTTTGTTTCTAATCACAGGGTTCCATTACATTGTTTCTGATTACAAGACGTGATTACACCAGTTTGTTTCTGATTACAGGGTTCCATTACATTGTTTCTGATCACAAGAAGTGATTACACCAGTTTGTTTCTAATCACAGGGTTCCATTACATTGTTTCTGATCACAAGACGTGATTACACCAGTTTGTTTCTAATCCCAGGGTTCCATTACATTGTTTCTGATCACAAGACGTGATTACACCAGTTTGTTTCTAATCACAGGGTTCCATTACATTGTTTCTGATCACAAGACGTGATTACACCAGTTTGTTTCTAATCACAGGGTTCCATTACATTGTTTCTGATCACAAGACGTGATTACACCAGTTTGTTTCTGATTACAGGGTTCCATTACATTGTTTCTGATCACAAGACGTGATTACACCAGTTTGTTTCTAATCACAGGGTTCCATTACATTGTTTCTGATCACAAGACGTGATTACACCAGTTTGTTTCTAATCACAGGGTTCCATTACATTGTTTCTGATCACAAGACGTGATTACACCATTTTGTTTCTGATAACAGGGTTCCATTACATTGTTTCTGATAACAGGGTTCCATTACATTGTTTCTGATTGCAGGGTTCCATTACATTGTTTCTGATAACAGGGTTCCATTACATTGTTTGTTTTCGACTGTAGGACATTCTTGCAAAGCAACAGTTTTCTGCACGATGATGATGTCTATACATTGTTGTAATATTTCTTCTTGCATGATTTAATTTATATTATTGCCCTTTACATACTTCAATGTCAGATAACATTAAGTAGTAATAAATATTTTTAATGATACCAATCTAAAGCAAAATATGTTGTCAAGCGCATCACAGCTCAATTTAATTCTGATAACGTCTTTTCTTCATTTTGTACAAGCTTTGATGTCTAAAAACATGCATTAAACCTGTTTGAAATGACAACCGAAATGATTTATTGCTATATGGTGACAAAATAAATCTCTCAAGCAGATGAAATGTCTCTATTATTAACCATAAAATAACCCAAACTGCCATACTTTGAATAGGCTTCCCTCAGACCAGACGAAGCAATGTACTTAAATGGGCATCCACCACAATGAGAGAACATTCTAATTTTTGTTCATGGAAGTCAGATTCCACTGTTGCATAGTTTAAGTTGTGTATGCAATATTCATGAGGGAGAGGCAGCCCCACTATCTGTTGTTTGTTTGCTGATGGTGGGTGACCTCAACTTCTAATATGACAGAATATCTATTATGGGAAGCCATTTTACATAGCTGTAATACCATTTTAAATGTCCAACTCATTCTAATTCTGGGGATTACCAGCTAGAAAACTGTCCTTGCAACCTATACCTATGCTTTTCGTAAAGCTGGCTGACTTGGTTTACAGCTCAATAGCATGGAGTGTGGAACACAATATCAATCACTGGTTTGCCTGGTCCATATCGGATTATTACAGGCTACTGTCATGCAGATGGAATATTGCTGAGTGCGGCATTAAACAACAAACACATGAACAAACACAGTAAAAATATTAAGGCATGAAGAATTAATTTCATTGTGAAGTGACATGCCTTGATTTTGAGAGTCCATGGCATAGCCTAGTGGTCCAGCATTCACATGGAACACAGACAACACTGGTTCCTTACAAGGCTAGGATGTCTTTGTCCAACAATGGTGTCCATTGTAGTGTTGCGTTTGTTTTGTGTTTAATGCGGCACTCAGCAATATTCCAGCTATATGACGGCGGTCTGTGAATAATCGAGTGATTGACATCATGAGCATTGATCTATGCAATTGGGATATGATGACATGCATCAACCAAGTCAGCGAGCCTGACCACCCGATCCTGTAAGTCACCTCTTAAGATAAGCACAGTAGCCTTTTACGGCAAGCATGGGTAGCTGAAGACCTATTCTACCCCGGATCTTCACGGGCCGTCTATTGTAGTGATATGGCTAAAAAATGCAAAAATAGATTCTTACTACCTGTGTACTGTGAATGAACAATAGACAAAAAATACAAAACAGATTGTAATGTATTTCAATATATTTATTTCCGCCATTTATAGAGGGCACAACCAGCATATGCTGACCAATCAAATCACAGCAGGCTCCAAGAGAGACCACTCTTAATCTACATTGAGCAAATAGTATACTTCAAGACATTTGGTCATTTTAAGAGACTGAACCAAACTTACACAAGCCGTCATTATGCTCAACAGTACAATGTTAACAAACTAACTTGATACTTCTTGCCTGCAAGTTGCCTTGTTTGAAAGAAAACAAGGATTGATATATTTAGCTTAACTAGGCATAAGTTGGGCTGTGTGCACAGCAACATTAGCCCTGAAGCAGGATAATGAATGATCACATTCTAACATGACCACAGAAACTCAACCCCAGTCAACTCTTTCTGAGTCTTGACAGTCTTCTCTTTTCTAACCATATTTGTCATGCATAACCATATCAGTTTATCATTATCATCTCTTAACATCTAAGACTATTCAAAAGGTTGGTCGAAGGTAAATGATTGTTATTCATATATGTTCTGAAAGGCATATATATTCTCAAACTCCATGTTTGCAAAGATACATACCCAACTAATTATCCACAGTACCAGCCAAACTAGTTACTTGTCCTACAGATATATTTCGTCGATAAACAAAGATACAGTTTGCAAAAAAAATGAAAAAAATGTTGGGTAGGCTTGAGCTTAATTTTTTTAAAATGCTCTTGAAACAAAATATACTTATCCAAAAACATTCATATTATCGAATTTTTAGACAAATTCAGTATTGGCATACAACAATGTACTTAGTGCAGATAAGACAGGATTAATTGTAAGACAAGAAACGAATTGGTCTGGCCAAGTTAATTCAAACATGAACAACATTTGCCATTTTCCAGTTCCAATAATGTGTATATTCCAAGTTGGTTCCTCATTTCCCTTCCTGCTATCACTGAATGCTATACTGGTGTGTCACTCTCATTTCAGGAAATGCTTGAAATAGTGTACTGATGAGTGACACAAATCTCATTAAATCAGCAAATTGCTATTTTAGGGCTGTACATTTTTTACTGTGATTGATCAGGGTTCTGTTGCATTTTTGTGTAGACAACAACCTTCTTTTTCATCACAATAAATTAGTGTAATAATATTGCGACATGTTTCATGTAAGCATCTTACATGTACCTTCAAAAGCATTTCCTGCAAATGACAAGCTATCTTGTAGGTTACAAATATTGCTGAGATTTCAAATGTCAATTTCAGATAATAAATGATCATGAGATTGATTAAAAATCTGTAAAAATTGATCCTACCCTGATGTGTGAACAAATTTTAGAAACATATTTCAGATGCATAAAAATAGAATCGTCTGAGTGTCTAAACAAAGTAAGGATATAATACCAACATATACATTCATTTTTTATGCCTTATTTTAAATATATGACCGTATATGAAATTTGATATTCATATGTTAATCACCTCATCCCTATTTCTTTATTCTTTGGTATAAGTTAGCATGCTGTTATTTCGAAAGTAGAAAAATATAACATTATGTGATGAGTTTTTTTAAATTACGGAACCGAAATTTACTGAGCAAACAAAGCAATATGTAAAAAATATTTTTTCAGTTGCATACATTTCAATCTTTGTCAGATTGTGAAATTTTTAACTTAAAGTTAAATGACAATGTCGCTGTCTTTGTTTATTCATGGGGGAAAATGTTGTACTATTAGCCACCTAGACCTACTGCATGGAACACGTTAGTTAGCTGGGGCAGCACAGTTCACACTAAATAAAACAATACTTGGCGATCAAATAAAAATATTTTGGCGACATGGTGCAAGACTGAAATACAAGCTACCAACATTACACAGAGCCATCTACAAATAAAAATATTCTGAATAATCAAATAAAATCACTCCAACAAACCCAAGCTCTCCTCTGTACTGGGAGGATGAAGTGCTGATAAAGACTTGCTAGTGTGAAAGGAAAACAGGCACATTACTTCCTGTAAAGGCCAGACCAATTTATTTTGTGGTTTGACAGATTTTCGTGGTATATATGCCAATAGACAGGAGCCCCCCTACCCCTTCCCTATCATGAATGTTGTCCAGGTTGATCGGAGTACAATTTCCTTAAAGATAAAACTCTTTTGAAGTAAAAGTACAAGATAACATAAAAATAGGAAATTGATGGAATTATTTTTACTATAAATATATAGAGTTACCTTGTCAGTATAGCATGAAACAAGTGAGTCTGACCATACAGATTTTCTAAGTCAAAGGTTCAAATACAGAGGGTTAAGAATGATCAAAGTTGATTTTGGGTATAGTGACTTACCAAAGAAATCATGGTATTTATTTTTTCCCCAAATAAACATTTTCCTACAAATCACAAGTGAAACAAAAACACAAGTTGGTGTATGTGAAAAAATTAATAGAACAAGCTATCGTTCAGAACTAGATCTATGGTTTAATAACAAAAGATGTTGCAAAAAGCATTATGGCCTCGAGAAAAGCGAAAGTGTGTGATATGTATCTTGTGTTTGCCAATATCAGTATCATGAAGAAAAGGGAAACTGTTTGTAGAGGATATTGTCAAAATACAATGGCATAAGACATATTTAATAAGAACCTAACATGTATGTGAAAAGTTCAACCTAGCCTTTTATTTGCAGCGATCTAGCTTTTCTGAATGATGTGATTGGTCAAAACCCTTCTCCTATTTCTCCAATAAGGATACTGCTAGTCATGTAGCAGTCAATGACAACACTTGATGAAAGGTACATACATGACATAGACCATCCTCACCAGTCAGGGGAGTTGGTTCTGCCACAGTCAGCTACATGCCCTCAACATCAGAACTATTTTCTAACAGCCACCAAAACAACATTCACTGAGTGGCCTTTTAGGTATTTTTCAGTCTTATCACCAGAACAGACAGAAATAAATTTGGAACTCATATTTCCTACTTGATAACAGTAATGAACCAAGTGAAATATTAGAGGTAGGCTTCCAGGGTAAACTAACAAGGAATCAGTATTAGACAATGGAATCTTTTTTAATCCAACTGAAAATTTGTAGTAGAGTATCTTTTTGAGGCCCATGAATTACATGTCCCTTTGGGTGATGATAAAAGCACTGACATGTTCAATACAGGAATTGTAGTCGATGTGGCAGAACCGCTGTGATGGTGAAGATAATCTATGAATTTACACAGAGATGAACATGTACATTTGCTGAACAGTGTACCCATTGTTGTACATGTCCTCAAACATGTATACATTTCTGTACAGGCCCTACACTATGTATACAGAATTGTAAAAATCTTAAACACTGTATACACAGTCATAAAAACTCTGAACAGTGCATACAGAGTTTTCCAGGTCCTGAATAGTGTATACACAGTTGTAAATATCCTGAACAATGTGTACTGAATTGTAAAACTTCCTGCATACAAAGTTGCACATTTTTAATGTATGCAGCAGAGGGTAGTCCGGTGCATGTAAACAATACACACATCTGAGGAAATACAGGTTGTCCGCGGCTACATCTATATACAAAGCCATCAGGTAGTAAAGTGACAGGTTCACATGCCGTGGTAAGACTTCACATCAACAGCAGGTGTCTAGAACCAATGCTGGCGCTGTGCATGGATGTCAGTTGCCTACGCGGACTGAGGTCCCAGCATGCAGTTGATATGCACATATATATGAGGAGGTGACCTGCCACAAGCAGCTAGTAGCAATTTTAGAATTACCTTAATTGGGATTAGTTCACAGTGAAAGCGCATAAAACTTGTGTTAAGCAGTTCGTAAATGGTATGTACAAAACTGAAAAGAATCCTGCACTGGAACAGTTTACATAAGCAGCTTAGGTAACATACAACAGTGTTGCAGGATGACATATACTTCATGACTAAGCCTAGAATCACATCCAACAGAGTGGCAGGTACCAGTAGGTTGGTACATAGGTCATGAAGAAGGCCACAAGTAACAGACAGGATTGTTGCAGATTCTGTGCTTAAAACATGAACAAAACCAGAATGAACACAATATTGTTTCATGTTTCTATATACTTCCTGAATCTGACATCTAACATTGTTGTAGGCCACTGTCATGTGTAACAACATTGTTGCAGGCCATGACACTGTCCTGTGTAACAACATTGTTGCAAGCCATGACACTGTCCTGTGTAACAACATTGTTGCAGACCATGACACTGTCCCATGTAACAACATTGTTGCAGGCCATGACACTGTCCTGTGTAACAACATTGTTGCAAGCCATGACACTGTCCTGTGTAACATTGTTGCAGGCCATGAACAGTCACATTACATACAAGATTGTTGCAGGCCATGAACACAATCATGAACATTGTTGCAAGTTACCAGACACTTCATGAACAGCTATCACTAACCAACAACATTGTTGCAGAACATACATAAAAATGAGGTCATTTACCATTGTAAAGAGGTCAGATTCAGTGTCATTAGTTCATCAGTAATGCAATTTGATTCAAGTTCATTTTGAAAACTAAAATCAGCAGTAATTGTCAATAAAGAAATTGAAGCATGGGGTTATATATAACAGACTGCTGTTGCTATGATTACCAACGAGAATGACATTGAACACACAATATGTTTCAGTTATTGCCGAGTTGAAATATGTTTACAGTAATCACATATTGTGATGGGTATCAACATACAAAATGACTTAATTACATGAATGAAAAACAAAACAGTCATACAATTAACCCACAGATGAATGAAACTCTGTCTTACCTAAACTCTAAAATTAAATTCAAAGCAACCATTTTATCTTTGGGGATAGGCCTGGGTAGTATCTCGGGTTCAGTCAGGGATACACCTTGGAGGATATAACATCTAATACATTTTATGCAATGGCGCAATTTTATGTTTATCTGCCCCCAACCAGGTGATACATATTATCATTTTCATTATTTTTCAAGCTCCTCACCCCCATCTCCCCAAAAGGATGCAATGGTTGGATCCCTCAATCAAAAATATACTCTCCAAATGATGGACCAGTTAAACACCTGTACAGTCTTAATGAGATAACAAACTGTAAAGATGCTGAAGCATGTATTCACAAGGACTGCCAGCAAAGTCAGTTACCACATGTACTTGTGGTCATGATAAGCAGCTGTTGTAAGCTGTGGTGACATTGAGGAAACCTGATCCAAACAAGCTCCACACTGAACCCTGCACTCTTGCATACATTAGTGTCCAGTAATAGGTCAAAGTGATATATTATATCAAATGTTCAACTGTGAGTACCACTATCACACCTGTGAGTTCCTCTTTTAAACACTTTCATAAATATACTTAGTACCTATCTAATATTGATGTGAAAGCTCTATTGCCAGTAATAAACCTCCAGAGTGCTGAGCAAGGCAATTTCACAGTATCAGCAAAACAATTTTGTTTCAAACACTCTTTATCTTTCAGTCAGAATATTCATCTTCCACCATGTTTGACGCATTATTACTGTAGCAACTATTTAGAGGAAGGAAGTTAGTGTTCTCATAGCATTAGCCTTGAGGAAGAGTTCTCTTGCTGAAGTTCATAATGGTGACCCTAGTGAACATCTAGAGAAGTGAAGCGATACTTGAATCATGATGCCTAGTAATCTAATAAAGATATAATATTTCAGAGTATTGTACAATTGTAAGTGTTTGTTCAATCAGAAGCAACACTGCCTTAATGAGAGAAGTCACTGGACTTAAAGGGGTACTCACAGTTGCTGCACAGCATGGGCACAACATTCAATCACATGGTGTACATTAAAAGCCATTTCACAGTCATATAGTTGCTGCCCCAGTTCCCCTGAGGAGTTAAAGCCAAAAGTCCCGACTTAGAAATCATTACAAATAGAAGGCACAATTTATTCAAGTGCAAGTTATAACCAAACCACAAGGAGAGCTTGGTAAAAAAATCTGCATCTTCTTTGTAGTTGAGTCATGACTGCTCTACAGTGGCCCCATCCACGCCCAGCATCAGGACCCCTTGACCTACATAGCATGTGAAAAGACCTTGAAAATCATCTCTGCCCCAGAAAGTTTCCTTGTACTTGATAGATTAATAATACCTAACTAGTAGACCTTCTGCTTGTTTCCTTGTATTTGATACATTAATAATACCTAACTAGTAGACCTTCTGCTTGTTTCCTTGTACTTGATAGATTAATAATACCTAACTAGTAGACCTTCTGCTTGTTTCCTTGTACTTGATAGATTAATAATACCTAACTAGTAGACCTTCTGCTTGTTTCCTTGTACTGGATAGATTAATAATACCTAACTAGTAGACCTTCTGCTTGTTATGAGAGACATGCTACCCTCATAATTCACAGAAGAACGAAAACTTCTATTTCTGATTCCTTGAGACTTTGTTCTTCTGCCCAATGCTTCTGTAAGTAAATAAGTTCTGCATTCCTGAAGAATTAAAAAACCCAGTTATGTTTGAATAGTTTCAGGAACAGGGCCATATTTGTTACAGCTGCCAGCTTCAATTTCTAATCTCTAAACTCTCGACGTTCACAAACCCAAGGGCATAACAATGCGGACTCAAAGAGTCTTATAACAATGACAGTCTTCCTCTTCTGTGGAAATCTGTGCAACGGAGAGGAAGCTGCCATTTTATAGTGAGTCTTCTCCATCATTCTAGGTCTTAACTGCTTAGCTGGCATATTTCTCAACTACCATCCCTGAATGGAATCTTCACACACATCATGTTTACATGACAGGAAGTCGATAAATCACAGTGCCATTGTCCTCAAAATAAGTCTGAATAGTTTATGTTTGAGTTGCGTACTTCAATTTGATCACAGAGACAGTTAATATTTCAACTCAATGAAATTCTCATACTTGAAATATAGATGGTTCCTGGTGTGTGTCAGTCCCCTGAATGACCTACAAAACATCAGAATGAAAGTTCAATGTTTGTGAGACTCAAGGTAGGTTTCTGGTTGGTGCAAATTTTATTCGATTATATTTGTTTATCTATAAATACCACACTGACATGTATTCTTTGTCTGAAGATAGAAAAAATGGCTAAATAATCTGTAGTTCAGAGAAATATTTTTGAGAGAAAATATTACCAATAGCATATTCGAAAGAGGCCAGCAGTAAATCTACTCATTTGTCACAGCAATTACTATGCATACATTCAAGTTACATCAACAATGAATGAATTCACTTTGCATAATTCTTTTACAGATCAATGATTTTTGATAACTTATTATTCTTCATATGAAAAAAATGACCAATTATAGAACATGTCTTTCCAGAAAAAAACATGTCCTCCTTTTTCCATAAAACTATTTACTAGGCCATACTGAAAAAGCAATACCATCATCTGTTGATGAAAGAGTAAGAAGACATGGATATGTATGTCGACGCAAACTGAGGTTGTTAAACTGGCAGTGTATGAAGTGATCTTGTTTTCAGGGGCAACGGTCTCAGTTAATGAGACAACAATTAAAATCTGCATCCTCCAAGAAGTGAAATTTGAATGACGCGATGAGATCTGATGAGATCTAAGCTTACTGAAATGGCAAGGTGTTCAAGGTTCTCACTGAAATTAACAGCTTAAGTTTTATAATGGAAACAATGCTTTTTTTCAACAAGAAAACAATATTTGAAGTTATTAGTCCATATGATGAGTGTTATTCCAAATGTAAAATAATCTCAATGTGCTAAAATCGACAAAATCCACAATTTGCATCTAAAACTTGCTTGCAATTAAAACCCTCACAGAAATCAAATGTCCCATTCTGGTAAAACGGGTGAAGGGCTGTTTAAGAGGTCATGCTGGTCAAGATGAAAGTCTTGAAAATTTTAAGAGAAAAAATAAAAAAACCCAACTTGATTGATAGTGATCTTTCTCCTCTAAAACAACCCTTACAATTGCTGTAAAATATCTAAAGCAAGAAAGTAACACGAAGCTTTAAAGCTGATTATAATGCGATCTCCATTCATAAATATATGTGTGTATATATATATATATTTCCACAAAACAAAACAACAAAAGAAAACAATTGAAACCAGGTGACAGGCAAGAGAAATGAAATGTAGTGTTTATAAGGTCATCGGAAACTAAGCTGCCTTTTATAAAGTTCATCAATCTTGAAACAAATGGACGATGTTGAATACATAATGCTTGTTGACAAATACACAGACTGGGGTCCATTGTCCCATTACCAAGTATGTGTGTCGTTCACTCCCCAGCTTCAGCTCTTTGAATTACATGACAGTCACATGACAGTCACATGACCATCAACTGATACACATGACTCGATGTTGCCCATGCTTCATTCCAGTGTAATTCAGAGTGACATATATAATCTTTACTCCACAATATGTCAATATCTGCCACTATTACAAGTCTGTATGTCAACCTTAAAATTTCACTTCATATAAGCATAATTACGACAAATCAATCTTTCAAAGTCACTTCTCTTACTGGCACGTCATGCATCTAATTTCACTTTGTTGAAAGATAACTTCACATTTACTCCCACTGAATGTCTTTATCGCTGAGCGGGATGTAGTACTTGAATGATGTGTCACAGTTAAAATCAAACTTCACGACATCAAACAATCTTTGTCTTTTTGTTTAGATATGCATGAAGTGTCAATTTACATATTCACTCGGAAACACTTGTGGCTATATACTTACATATTACATACACTTTATTGACATCAGTATTGTTTGATGTCTCCACACAGTTTCACTATATACATCTGACTGTACACAACTATACAATACTCTGCTGAGGGCTGCCCACAGCACTTCAGTCACCTGACAGTCAACTCCCTATCACATATCTCTTTGGTGCCCATGTCCTGTACATCCCCTTGTCCTCGTCAGTGTGACGCATGTCGCACACACGTTCACGTGACCACAACTAGTACGCCGGTCAGCACATGGTGTTGAATCAATTGTACATAGGTCGTGCCACACATTGGCCGTGTCCACCACAGAAAAGTCCCCAGATGTTCTAATGCAGAACACGAGGTCTTACGTGTTACTTCTGTCCCCTCAACTGTTTTGAAAGTATTGCCCTTCAATGTAGCGGTATTGTCATGTGAAAGGCATACCCCCGTAGTCTGCAGGGTGGACACACCTGGAGCTACCTGGCTCCTTCATAGAGAATGGACTGATCCATCAAAGAAGATTAAATGCCCTCAGTTAGGCTGGTGATTCAACCAGGAAACATTCCTCCGAAGACATACTTGCGATCTTCATAGATATGGCGCGAAGAACATATTTACATAGTACAAAGTAGGATTCTACATTTCTGCATCAACACTTTTTCTGACCAGGAATTTTCACCACTGCCTTAATCACACTCCAAAGTAAATACCAACCACATTGTACCTTGGATTCTGCCATCCACTGTTGGCTGTTTTATCCTGAACCCCTTCATATTAGAGTAGGCTGATCAAGGCCTGTGTCTTTGGTATGCAAAGTGGAGCAGTTTACTTTTGATAAGAGGTACCCTTCCTGATGTTCTTCATGCTGTTGAGATGCCGTCTCCTGCACTCCTTTCACAGATATGTGACATGGACTGATAAAGGACTGAAGTACTGAATTTGTACAAACGTTTGGTGAGTGGTTCTGTACACAAGAATCACGATCAGGAAAATCGTCATCCCTTTCTGGAACTACCAATGAGAGGCCTCAACTTGTCAAACATCATCACTGTGATACAGTTGCCCACCAAAGTCCTTTGGTAAGTGATGCCTTCTGTCCGCAGCCGCTCACTCTCATCTACAGATTCAAAAATGTCTGTTGCATGTTTTTCAAAGTAATCATCTTAATATCAGTAACAAGAACAATGAACATGGCTGTAGTGACTTGATTATGCATATGAGGGAACACAATCAGGGGCAGATATCTTCACACGATGAGGACTATCTGCGAGACGAATTCTGCCATTCCCTGCACCAGACTGTAAGTTCCCCGAGTGACTCGTCCATTCCTTATCAGTTCTGATGTCAGATGACCCGTCTCACAGAAAGCATCCTTCAAAGTGAATATTCCTCAGATAGCAATTATGTTTCGATATATGACAACATTCACAAGGGAGCCATGATGATGATGACTGGAACCAGCTAGCAAGCAGACCAGATGCACTCACAGGACTGAGCTTAGAGTGTCACAACCTCCGTGCACCACCTTCACTTGTCATCTGGTGGGGCAACGTATGTCTCCATCATCAACGATGGGAACTGTGTTCCGTCCATCTCCATATCTAGCAGCAAGTTGGAGTGCTCCACACTGATTGTTCGGAGGTCTGACATGCGGGTCAGAAATTTGGCAAGTGCACTCCCACCACGAAGTCTTTTGGCGTTTTCATACGACTGTAGTGTTTCCACATAGTGAGATTGTATCTCTTCAACTTTCTGCTTCTCCTTCAGACCAGGCCGCTCTGCAAAACACAACAACCACATCAAGTCAATCCATGCAAAAAACTCTTTGCTTTTTACCTGAAATATAATCAACTGACTACACTGTACCTTTCAATGTCTCAGCAGTATAATGTCAACATTAAACATCAAACATTAAACATTAAATTTTGAGGATGTTTAATACTGTTGTGAAACCAAGAGGGGCAACCTAGCGGTTAAAGTGTTCACTCGTCCCGCCCAAAGCCCGGGTTTGATTCTCCACATGGGTACAATGTGTGAAGTCGATTTCTTGTGTACCCTGTCATGATATTGCTGGAATATTGCCAAAAGTGGTGTAAAACCACACTAACTCTCTCACAGGAACCAAGACGGTCCTGACACAATTATATGATGTCATCCTAAGGTATGTTTGTTTTTTGAGTTGTTTAACGCAGCACTCAGCAATATTCCAGCTATATGACGGCAGTCTGTAAATAATCGAGTCTGGATCAGACAATACAGTGATTGACATCACGAACATTTATCCATGCCATTGGGATACGATGATGTGCATCAAACAAGTCAGTGAGCCTGACCACCCGATCCCGTTAGTCGCCTCTTACGACAAAAATAGTCACTTTTTACGGCGAGCATGGGTTGCTGAAGACCTATTCTACCCCGGATCTAGAGGGTTGTCATCATAAGGAGGAAGCTCCCTCGTGCTTGCTATTTCATGGGAAAAGAAATTTACAGAGCCTCTTGAGATAATGGTTATGGTCAATACAAGGTCCATATCTAAAGTATTACATAAAACAGAACATTTGCATTGGAAGTAAACAAATAGCAAATATCAGTACATTTGACATTAGGAGCATGGCCAAAATGCAAAGGTCAAATATAGGTTAAAATGTTAAATACCTAAAAAAACAGAACAAATGTGTTGAGCCACAGAAGTAGCAAAACAGATACCCAATGCTTTGAAAGTAAATGGCTGGGTAAGAGCCATAAGAAGTTTCAGCTTTCAATATAGTCCAAGTGCAAATGTCAAATCAAGGTCAAAATTAAAAATATCACAAAAATTGAATACACATGCTGAGCCCCACTACGAACTACACTTGTACCAAACAGCATTACAAGTGGAACATAAATGATTGCGCAATTAATGGCAACAAAAAGTTTTTTCAACAGAGTTCCTGCTGGCTTTGAAATTCTAAAAATTACCCGTCCCCCCTAATTTTTGCCAGTCCCAACTTTCAACAAATAAAAAAAATGTATGAAAATTATTTGGTTTTAATTCTTTCAACAACATGTTCAGTGCAAAGCTCTCTGAAGTAACTTAGTTAGATCTTTACGTCATTCACACAAACTTCAGTCACAATTTCCCCCTTATTTTTTAATATTTCCAGGCGAAGTTGCTACAAATGGAAATTTAACCTAGAGATAGACCAGGGGAAACCCTGATGGTAACAGACAAGCTGAATTTGTTCGAAAAATGTACTCATAAGAATATCACCAATGTTTTCTTCAACAACAAAGATTTATAAGGTACTTTATTTCCCGGTCCAAATTACTGGGTCCAAGCCTAATTTTACCGGTAAAAAACTGGTAATTACTGGTAAATGGGAACGCTATTTCAATAAAGCACACTTGACAGCCACATTGAAAATCAACTTCAACGAAATTCAGGGCCTGTCATTGGTGGAAACATGGATGTGAAGTATTAGCTTCAATGATTCAATGGTTTCTGAGGAGATGATGTCTACAGTTCGAGGAAATGCATCGCAACTGCAAAGGTCAAATGAAGGTCAAATGTAAAATATAGTGAAAAACGTAACCTATGTCTTGAGCACCATTCCCAACTACACTTATATCAAATTTCATTTCATTGTGAACAAAGATTGCTGAGTAATGGCCATAAATAGTTTGTTCAATATGGCGGCCATGGTAGCCATATTGAAAATCAGATTAAAACCTCTTGAACAAACTGGAGTGTGATCATTGGCAGGAACAAGCATGGTACGTTTCAGCTTAATTGGTCCTGTAGTTTCTGAGGAGAATATTGTGAATGATGGATGATGGACAACATACACCCGACCAAACAGGCCATGACATAAACTCACTTGACTTTCAGTCAGGTGAGCTAAAAATTGAAATGATTTGATGCTGGTAAAATGAAGTTATTCAGCATTACAAAATTTTACAATATGCACATGTTCCCTATCTCTCTTGGACAGAGCATCAATTTGTCTGCTAAATTAGTTAAACTATTACATGATTCTTCATTAGTCTTGTAACCTTTGAGACATGTGAAGGATTCGTAATTAAATCTCCTCCAACGTACCTGAAAATATCGCTATGGCAGTGATGAGAGCGTATTCAGCATTGTCGGTCTTCAGCATGGCCATGTTGTCACAGAACTCGTACATGAGCTCGGCATACCTGCCAAGCCCTGTTGCCTTCATGTTTTCCAGAGTACAGGGCAATCCATTGGCAAAGATTATGGCCTTGGTCTCAGAGTCGTAGCAACGGGCTGCCCTTATTGCCATACACTCACAGGAGGCAGCCTGGAACACAGATATTATCATAGTGATGTGTGAGGAGTGAGTGAAACACAGGAGTGAATATATTGGTTTATCACCACAGTAGGCAATATACCCAGATATTGTACAGTAATCAGATACTTAACCTTGATATTGACAATTGACAATTGAGTTGACAATTTAGTAATCACAGATACCAAACCTCAATCTTGCCAGTTCCACTGAATGCATTGACAATTCAGTAATCACAGATACCAAACCTCAATCTTGCCAGTTCCACTGAATGCTCTGACAATTCAGTAATCACAGATACCAAACCTCAATCTTGCCAGTTCCACTGAATGCACTGATAATTCAGTTATCAGATACGAAACCTTGTTATTGCCAGTTCCAAGACACTGCTCTCACCTTCAGCAGGACGATCTGATCTTCTTTGTCCAGCGAGGTGAAGCCTGGGAGACACTTGGCGAACTCCACGATGAGATGTGTGATGAGCACTGTCATCTGAACCATCTCCCCCATCATGTTGTCGGGCGTCGCCTCCTTCTGACCAGGCTCGATTATCTGCACATACATGAGAAAAGAATTTTTAAATTTTAGTTAGTATTTCTGTTGGCCCATAGTACAATGCAATGAGACTAACAGCAGCGTACAGGACTGGATACAGGAATGACAGACCAAAGACTAGAATATGGTAATCAACCTTCTTGTCAATGAATCCTGGCATGGCTAAGGGACATAACTCTTCACAGTGAATTGTGGCATTTCAGACTGCTGTGACATGTATGCCCTCTATTTAACCTCTACCATGTGTCAATACAGCATCAATAATACATATGACAGATTAACTCAATACTAATTTCTGCTGCAGTAGCAAAATTACAGCTGAATCAGACCTGCCTGAAAATAATCATGTCAGACTCATGTAACACAAAGTACTCATCCAATTCAATTTAACAAGGATGGTGTATTGTGGATATCTTTTTACAAAGAATATCCATGGGATTTCAATGACAGACAGACCTTTGAGCAAACATTTAAACCACAACAACTCTGATTGGCCATTATTTGATCAACACTGGAAACAAACCTAGGTAGCCTCTACATACACTTCAAACCACTGTTCGAGCTTACCGTTGCCTTGGTAATATCCCGCTCATCTGGGAACTCGAACTTGTCCTGAAGTCTGCACAGTTTCTCAATTAAAAGCCGCTGCTCATTGCCAATCTTTGTAAGAGGATTATCAATGAGAATGGCTGTGCCAGGCATAATGTTGATGTCAGGCTTGAACTCCTGATACCTAGACTCCGAGTCTGGGGAGAAGCTGTTCCCATCTGGACTCTCAGCCTTCTTGGGAATCTGTGGCACTCGCGACTTGGCCTTGCGCCGGGCGTCCCGAGCCTTACACTGCTCCTCTGACAACAGGCCTGGAGACAGACAAAGAAGAGGTAGGTATGTGTACTATCTTTAACTTATTATGATTGTTTTAGGTTCTGTTTCCACAGTCAGAGTAAAGCTAATGTCGGACAAGTTGTTTATATAACATAGCCTGAAGTGGAAAACATAAGCAGTCTTTCCAGACAAATGACTAACTCTTAATTAATATTCACTCTCTTCTTGTGAACACCTGACATTAACCTCTATTATTCCTGTTATGCTCAATGAAATATGTTTTGATGACAATCGAGACTGGTTATCCTCTGGCATTGATGTTTTATAGTATCAATGATCTTTTAAAGAAAGTGGATATTTTGGCTTGGTCTGTCCAGATTTTTACTCGAGGACAAGATAAGTAGTTGTGAAACACAAACACCTTGTAAATGTCAGTGAAATTGGCCTTCGCTTCTAAAACATAACAAACACATATTCTAGAAAAGTGGAAATACGATCAGAGTTCAATTGTGAGACAATACATCACAAGTGAGTACGTACATTCCTCCTTCATCCCGACTTCCTTGCATCGCCGTAGACGACAACACTGACATTTCCGCCGCATCCACATGTCCATCTCACAGTTTCCACCATATTTACATGTGTAGGTGGCACCCCGTGTAATACTGCGCCGGAAGAAACCTAGCAACACATGTCACCATTGTTACAATTAACTGTAAAAGACATATCTGACGAAGTTGACGATTTGCACACATCATGTTCTCTGGATTGACTTAGGCAGGTTACAAATATACATAGATACAAACATGAATGAGTGAAGGACCCTAAAGCTATAGACGACAATGTTACAGTGAGGTATGACAGCTCGTATGCTACGTTTAACATAAAAATTTAAAATTCTCTAATAATATACAACAATTTTAGTTTTTAACACAGACCCAATTTCCATGCATGGGACTAGATGTTTTAACATGTAAGGTACACAAGTTAATTAATTTCTGCGTATATTTAAACTGAGATGACCCTGACCTTTACAGCCTTCACAGCTGAGGGCATTGTAGTGGTATCCCGAGGCTCGGTCACCGCAGATACGACACAGTTCCTCCTCAATGCTCTTGCCCGCGATGCCCACACCCTTCTTGGCCTTCTTGGCATCGGGAGGGAAACACTGGTCTGCCTGGGACGGGGAGGAGTCGTCCACATCAAACTGGAATGTTCCAGGAGGGCTGCTGATGCTGATTCTCTCCATCAGAGATGTCTGTTGGGTACTTGTGTCGGGAGGCATGTCGCCCTCGGACAGCACTGAAACAGGGACGTTGCTACAGTGCCTGGGCTGTTGCTGCCATCCTTACAGCTAACCTTGGGTGTGATTTCAATCACCTACTTTTCCAGATCAAACTGTCACAATGTTAAACTTGAGAATATTTCTCATGTTAAGGGTGTCATCAATAACCACCAATCTACCAGTGTGTTCTGATACTTTGTACCATGATTGAGCATCACATCAATAGGTAAAGTTCTGATACAAAATGATACATAGATAAGGAAAGAATGTTCTATGTTCACAAGACGGAGCGAAACTACTGCTTCCTGATGGTACATACACAAGTTTACAATGTGTGTTTTGGTGGAGCTTTGAGTCATTTCCCTGATGGTGGATCATTCTGTAATGTCAGTGTTCGTAAGAGGGTCCTGGGGTCTTTGAGATTTGGTCCTATACTACTTGAATACAGGGACTCCATCAATGTTAAATATTCAACATCAGGGTTATGGTGAGGACCCCATGATTTTCTGGTTTCATATATAACACTGAATGTGTGACAAGTGTCATGTTTTCATGCATACCCCAGTACTACCAAGCATCATTATGACATTTTACTATGGAAATATATATCCTCACAGCCCTAATAGGTGTGAGTGTAGACATCACACAGGAGCAATAGGCCAGAAAGACCATCAGGAATGTGCCTACTAAGTAGCCATGTCAAGGATGGAAAATAACCAAGAACGTCTACTGGCCCGAATAGTGATAACAAACAGCATACTCCAAAATGTCTGAAATTCTACTAGCCCTTAGAATACCTTCCACATTAACAAACTGGTCCAGACTAGCAGGCTAGTGCTTATTTTCATCCCTGCATGTGGAGAAAGCCACTCAACATATATCTGTAATAATCCAACACATATTAAAAAAGGTAGTCTGTGCCCAAACCAGCCCGAACATGACCCCTAGCATCACTTTCAGTAGAATCTAGTGTCATGACATGGACCATTATTAGCTGAGCTTTCTTGACCTAACAGACATTTACTAGACTCGGGCTTCGGACTTGTGGCTAAAGTCGCAGACTGAAAGGTGTTTCATCAATCAGTAGGCAATGCTACCAAGTTAATTACACAGAAGAAGGACTTGTACATGTTCGTTATGTGTAAGCCTATTACAGCAGCTAAATTACATCTACAGCTTGAAGTAGTTTAGCTTTCCTCCAACAGTAAGCTTGACAAGCTGCACACTTGGATGTGACTGAAATGCTTCACCATGCACCATGAAACCCATTCATTCACTCACTCACTCACATCTTATCATGTCATACACACATAGGTATACTTTTAGGTATACTTTTAGGTATACTTTTAGGTATACTTGTAATTTCTACAAGGCCAGGTCAATTTCATTTCTCTCTTACAGATATTTCATAAACCAAGATGTCAAGATCCACTCGCCCACTGAAAAGTAATTGGGGTTGACAGGATTTACACTACAGAATTTTGTTTAAAGTAAAGACAAAATAAATTACTTTTTCCCTCCCTCTCAAAAATCGGGCTATTTTAAAGATGGAATATTCACATGAAGTCAGCCCTTGAACTCATAAGTTCCAGAACTACTTTTCGTGATTTTAAATCTGATAATTGTGCGATATTCTGCTGATGGTATGACAAATTGTGCAATTTCGTTCAAAAATGCTATGAGAGATAAATCTCTTCACACAGAAAACATTTCTATAAACATGTCTGGAACATGAAACAGTTTACCTTGGAGACTATCAAGAAATGAAATATATCCACGATCAACACCCTTGATGAATGTTTGCGGAACTGAGACTGGGTCCCAAAGTCAGGTCCCGGGTTAAGTATCAAGACGTTGATACCGGCTCAATGTGTCACACACGTCTTTCATGATAAGGTACATGTGACCTGGTCTGACCCTGGTGTCTAAACTCCTCACCTGACCTCTGAGAAACGTCAGAGTAAAGAGCTCTGAGAATATTTATTTGCCTGGTTGATAATCACACAAGGCACACATGCATCATCAAGAGCTTGGCAGCAGAACCACACTTTAAATAATGTCTTCATCATGGGGGATTCTGGCGCACATTGGAAAACTGGCTTCACACCAGCTCTGATGGCAATACAGAAATTATGGTCAGTGAAGACACATTCAGAAACAGCTTGAGTGGAATTATAGTTGCATCCTATTTTAGCCTTAGTCATGGTTTCATAGCTGAGTATAACTGTTTCAAAGGACGGGTCTTGATTTCTTGAAGAATGGTCTTCATAAACAAACTACAAACAGTTACTTATGGAAGCAGTTCTATGGACATGGATTTCAAAGGTGGAGAAAAGTGCTACATTACAAGAATAAGGGACAGACATGACAGGGGCTACAGCACAAGAATAAGAGACAGAGATGACCGGGGCTACAGCACAAGAATAAGGGACAGACATGACAGGGGCTACAGCACAAGAATAAGGGGCAGAGATGACAGGGGCTACAGCACAAAAATAAGGGACAGAGATGACAGGGGCTACAGCACAAGAATAAGGGACAGACATGACAGGGGCTACAGCACAAGAATAAGGGACAGACATGACAGGGGCTACAGCACAAGAATAAGAGACAGACATGACAGTGGCTACAGCACAAGAATAAGGGACAGACATGACAGGGGCTACAGCACAAGAATAAGGGACAGACATGACAGGGGCTACAGCACAAGAATAAGGGACAGAGATGACAGGGGCTACAGCACAAGAATAAGGGACAGACATGACAGGGGCTACAGCACAAGAATAAGGGACAGAGATGACAGGGGCTACAGCACAAGAATAAGGGACAGACATGACAGGGGCTACAGCACAAGAATAAGGGACAGAGATGACAGGGGCTACAGCACAAGAATAAGGGACAGGCATGACAGGGGCTACAGCACAAGAATAAGGGACAGACATGACAGGGGCTACAGCACAAGAATAAGGGGCAGAGATGACAGGGGCTACAGCACAAGAATAAGGGACAGACATGACATTGGCTACAGCACAAGAATAAGGGACAGACATGACAGGGGCTACAGCACAAGAATAAGGGACAGACATGACAGGGGCTACAGCACAAGAATAAGGGACAGAGATGACAGGGGCTACAGCACAAGAATAAGGGACAGACATGACAGGGGCTACAGCACAAGAATAAGGGACAGAGATGACAGGGGCTACAGCACAAGAATAAGGGACAGACATGACAGGGGCTACAGCACAAGAATAAGGGACAGACATGACAGGGGCTACAGCACAAGAATAAGGGACAGACATGACAGGGGCTACAGCACAAGAATAAGGGACAGAGATGACAGGGGCTACAGCACAAGAATAAGGGACAGAGATGACAGGGGCTACAGCACAAGAATAAGGGACAGACATGACAGGGGCTACAGCACAAGAATAAGAGACAGAGATGACAGGGACTACAGCACAAGAATAAGAGACAGGCATGACATTGGCTACAGCACAAGAATAAGGGACAGACATGACATTGGCTACAGCACAAGAATAAGGGACAGAGATGACAGGGGCTACAGCACAAGAATAAGAGACAGAGATGACAGGGACTACAGCACAAGAATAAGAGACAGACATGACATTGGCTACAGCACAAGAATAAGGGACAGAGATGACAGGGGCTACAGCACAAGAATAAGGGACAAAATAAACTAAACAAATGAACCAATCTGTATTTCGCAATCACTTGTAATCCATGCATCCAAGCTGGGGATCATCCTGATTATTGTCATCACTGTTGTCAGTTACAGGTTGGGGTTCACTTGTACTTCTTCCGAAATTTCCAACTGACCTTAAAACCATTGTCCCTGTCAGAATCGGACATATCAGCAAGTTGTGATCAGGATACCGCACAAAGGACATCGTATGTTCGATGCTTCATCATTTTATACAGAGATGGGCCTCAGATGGGCGATTATTTTAAACACAGAAAAAAATCTCACTACAAAATAAATGAAGGTACTCAAATGCAAACAATAAATGCAATAAAACAATTGGTATGTTTCGCACATTGTTTTCTCACTGAATAGTGAACTCGATTTGTGATGTGAATAGTCTTTGTTACATTTCTGTCGTTGAAAGAAAGAGGAGTATATTTCAATCCCACTCAAACGAAAGAAATATAGTGTACAAATGGTTATTGTTTAATTGTGGATAGGAGAATGTCTAAGAGGTGCCGAAAAGTGTGTTTTTTTGCTGAAATTGTGTGCAGGCGACAATGACCGTGAACGGAGGCTTGCTTGCTTGGATGCGAATGTGAAGGGCGGGCTTGTGCAAAGAAGTGTGTAAGTTTGGAGGAAATTACCTCGAACACGACCAAATATGGAGCCTCTATATCAGCCTGTATTTTCGTTTCAGCCTTCCATATTGATAGACATGACTTAAGTGCAGAAAAACCTTATTTATGTGCCTCTTTTGATGTTTAAATGTGATATTTACATTACAATGTTATGATTCATCCAAGACTGCAAGTTTGTATGTACCCATGATACTTGCACTTTAACCTCTATCCTTGGCTACGACATGTCGGTTAAACCATCACAATCATGTTTGTCTGGTGTCATTTGTACATGTCTATCGGAGCATGATAATCTAAGAAAGTAATCGTGTAGATTATTCCTGTACTCAATCCAAATGTGTGAGTTTGATCAATGTCTAATGTGCCGTGACAGCCCCAGGGGGAGCTGACCAGTGGTCACCAGATAGCAACATTGTTACTGTCCTGTTGACGTCCACAACACCGGCCACAGTCTACATTCTGATATGCATCAATACAGACAGCGTTCTTACAGTTCAAGGATTAATGTTGGTTGGTTGGTTTGTTGTTTTAACATTGTTTAAATTCCAGCTATATGACGGCGGTCTGTAAATAAATCAAATCTGGACCAGACAATTCAGTGATTGATATCATGAGCATTGACCAACACAGTTGGGATCGATGACATGCATCAATCAAGTCAGCGAGACTG